GGAGAGACCGGTCCTTGGAGAAGGACATCATGCTTGGGAGGGTGGAGGGACAGCGCAGGAGGGGAAGGCCCTCTATGAGGTGGATTGATTCAGTGAATGGGATAGTCAGGATGGGAGTGTCAGAGACAGTGCGATTGGCACAGGACAGAGCAGAGTTTAGGACTTTTGTGCATAGGGTTGCTATAAGTCTCAAGTGACTTGACGACACATACAACAACAACAACATGGAATGTGAGAAATATGAATGTAGGAAAACTGGACGTTGTAAAGAAAGAAATGGAACACATAAATATTGACATTGGGCTCTAGTTATAGGAGTGTTTACTTGAATAATAATCACATTAATGGGTCTTCCTTGTATGCATATGGATATTATCTTTTCTCTCACAACATTGTACTTCAGGATAGAACTTCACATTGACTTTTTGACTATGAATGCAACACCATTCTTCCACTGTTTTTCATTCTTGACATATTATACTATATGATCATCTGATTCAAAGTGGCTGAAGCTGCTCCATCTCATCTCACTAGTATGTCAATGCCTAGTATGTCAGTCCCTAGTATGTCAATGTCCATGCATTCCATTTCATTTTTAACAATTTCCAGTTTTCCAACATTCAAGCTACCTACATTCATAGTTCAAATTATTATATGATGTTTATCATAGTTTTTCCTCATTTCAACTGACTTCCAATCTGGGCTCGACCACTACAATACTATAACTATCCTCATTTCTCTAGTGTTCAAAGGCCTACTGTTTAAAAAGTTGATGCCAACCTGCTTCCTAGTTTGTCTTAATCTGGGACCTCTACCAAACCTTGTTCATCATGGGTAACCCTGATGGCATTTGACACACCAGTAGCACAGCTTTCAGTAGCACAGCAACCCTAAGTTATCCAGTACAGCAAACACACAGATAAGTGCTGTACCTCTTAGAACAGTGTTCTCCCTAAACACAATTATTACTTGGGCCCTACTGACTTAAATACAAAGGCCTGCACATGAGGTCCTGATTTATTTAGGCAAGAGGTTTACAGCCCACAGCAGATTGTTAACTAAAATCATACAACCAATCAGCTTATACTTGATTGTTAATGAAATAAAAAAATAAAAAATGACCAAACAGCTTGTGTGTGTGTGTGTGTGTGTGTGTGTGTGTGTTTTGTTTTGGTTTTGGTTGTACGTTAACTCAATTAACTATATTTAAAATGAATGAAGTTTATTGAATGTTAAGCAAATAAATTGGTTAAAAAATATACCAGCAGAAATAGAAAGGGACAATGCTTAGGAATATGATAGAGTGAAAGAGGGGTAATATGAAAGAGTGTCCCAGGTTTCACAGAGGAAGTTTGGAGAGAAAGAAACAAAAAATTAAAGATACGTAATATCCTCCTGTCACTTGACAACAATAGCATCAACGTAGAGAGAGAGATCAGTTGGCCAGTGGACAGAAAGCGATGCTACCAAGCCAAAGGAGGGTGACTTTTAATCCGCGGCCCTCGGGCCTGTCTTTCATTGTTTTTGTTCAGACATCCCTCTAGTTCATATAGCCCTGGTGTACAAGTTGCCATACAGAGGTCACTTGTGGTTGCTGTGAGGCTGAACACTGTGACACTGATGTGTCAGATGTGTTAATGGTTGGTTACCCAATGCAGACAGAGAGTGGGGTGGAGCTCCCTGATTAAAACAAGCTTGAAGGAGGAGTGGCATCCACTTCCATAATAGCTTGCCTCCGGAAACACTGTCAACCTGCAGAGAGCATGAAGGGCACCCAAGCATCGAGGACTCTCCTTCATAGGGTTGCTATGAGTCGCTTGCGACTAGACAGCACTTAACAACAACAACAATATCCTCCCTTCATTTTAGTGACTTTGTGAAGTTTGTAATTATTTCAAGAGGAGCTTTGGGTATAATCCTTAGGGAGCTATGTGGTGTTGTTAGCTTAAGATGACTTTTTTTAGTGATTACCTTACTCTCTGAACTCCTGCTACCTTAAGTACAGATACATGGTCTTGCAGATAATTAATAGCTATGGGACTAAAATAAGAGGGAGAGTACTTTCCACATTGAGCAACAAGACTTGAGGGAGACTGGAGCAAAATGAGGGTGAGAATAAGACCCTGCTGGCAAGACCCTAGTAATAGTTGTGGAGAGACTATGGCCTTGCTGTGAATAAACTGTGGCAAGGTCTAACAAGAGGAGCCTTGAGATAAAGACCACAGTTAAAGGTTTTGTTTTTCTTGCCTTTGATGATGGAAGGAAAAGCTGCTTGCTTAACTGAAACTAGAGCTAGGACTAATTGAAGAATTTTGTCATGGAACTGCTGGACTAAAACTTGGACTTGCATTGGGTGATATTCTTTGCCTCCATTACTCTCTCCAACTTATTTCCCTAATAACTCTCATTCTCAGTACAGCAATGAATAAAAGAACATCTTGCTGCTGGAGTGGCTTCAAAGGCACAATGGGGCTGGGTTATGAGCTCTTTATCTGCTTTCTGCTCTGAGGCAATAAGAGCTGAACTATTTTCACTCCCTTTGGCCCTTTCAGAGAGATGTTCATGGCCCTGTACCACTTTGTCCCATTTTCATCTAGACAGCTGGTACATGTGGCAGTTTGAATCCACCAAATGCTCTATAGGAAAATGACAGAGAATCTCCTTCCTCTTGTGTGATTTACAGTTTTCACAATATGTTGGAGGGTGAACTATGAGATGGTTCCAACTCTCTGGCAACCAGTGAGTGAAAGAATTGCTATAAATACAGATGGGGTGAAGTTTTCAATTTGTTTTTAAAATGTTTATTTGAAAGTCAATTATTTATTCACTCCTTTGACTTCCCTCTTATTTTTCTACATTTCTACTCCTACTAAAACAAAACAAAACAAAGAGTTGCTGGGAAGTCTACTCTGTATTGTCTACCCTGTGCCTGATCATAATTTTACTCCATAGCATTATTAGTGACTGAATTTTGTTGATGAAATTTGCAAACATTTATTTCTGGAAACTGTGGATTTGCTAAACATCCAATCTTTTGGTTAGCACCTAAGTACATTAATCATTTGACTCAACCTGGACTCCAATACTACAATAACAGTATAAATATGCCTATGTCTGTGTGTCTGTATTTGTGGATTCTTCCTATGGTAGCATAATCCGTAACAAATTGCACTGCTAACCCAAAGGCTGGGTGTATATGGCGGTTTGAGTTCACCAGCAGCTCCCCGGGAGAAAGATGGGCAGTCTTCTTCTGTGTGATTTAATCTCAGAAATGCGAAGGAAGGTCAGTATGGGTCAGAATTGACTCACGGACAATGAGTGAGATACCTATTCTGTAGAGAACTCTTTTGGTGAATGTATTATTAGCATGATTAATACAAATATCATAGAAATCTGAGTAGATTTTAATTCATGTCCTGTGTTTCACAGAAATATTCAAATGTCATGCTGATAAATAGAACCCTACATGTACAAATCGTCATGGATAAAGCCTTGGTATGTATGTTGATAAATTTCATCATATCTTCTTTTATGTGTTGAGGTTAAATAAAAAGAAACTTCTTTGTTTGCAATACATATATTTTCTACCCTTTTCCAAATGTTTTTCAATATAGCAGGAATGCGGTAAAGTGCATTTACCCTAACATATACCACTACCATGGAGTGAATCCCAACTCATAACAACCCTACATCAGGTTTCCTAAACTGTAAGGGACGATGGAAAGGGACGATCCGTCTTTTCCTTATCAAGGGTGGATTTGAACTGCAAAATTTGACAGTTTTAATCCACCAGGTGCTTCATAAAGAAAGATGTGATGGTGTGTTTCCATAATGATCCACTGCCTAAGGAATTTTTAGGACAGTTCCTCTCTACCCTTGCTACATTAAAATTGACTCTTGGTAATTTGGAATTCAGCAATTATTTTCAGATATAAATCAAATTTTGGTGAAGTCTTCTTTCCAAACTCTCTTTTAACTAAAACAATTAATTACTCAATTGATGATCATTTTTGTTAAAGATTACTCTATGTTTTATAATTACTTGAGTATCAGTGGAAGTTTTTATTTTCAAAAGAGGAGAATCACTCATAGGAACATTCATTTATTTTTGTAAAGTTGGTTTAACAAAAACATATGTAGCAATCGTACGAAATGTAAGCTTTAGTTTTTATACTCACTTTATGAGCATCCAGATGTTCTAGGTTTTGCTCATAGTAGGGTATATTTCGGTATTTTATTAGTTTAAGAATAATAACAAGAAAGGAAAGAGGGTAAAAAAGAGGAAAAATGTAATTTTACTGCAAGTGTACAATACGTATACATTTTCTTTGTTTCTAGTATTTTTGTATATACATATATAAAAGCATATATTCATGTAGCTTGTTTTGTATGTGTTATTGTGCTGAATTTAAATGTTTTAACATATAAGCAACCTAACATTAAAAAACAATTAACATTTATTTTGTGTCTAATTAATGCATTTAATATATTTTTAATACAAATGGGTATTTTTAAATAATTTCTGTTTTTATTATTGTTACTTTGGGAATTTGGCTTAGATGTGGCTCACCTGCATTAAAAGGATGCTTTACCATACCCACCCACTCTCATTAATTGACTAAAATTACATTTGTACACTCTTTTCTCTGTTTTGCTAATCTTCCAAACTATATGCAAAATCACTTTCACTGAAAAGATGTTCATAGAAAGTTAAAAAAACACACCAAACTGCAACATCATATGGTTAGTATTTTCCCTTCTTTTACTTTCAACCTATATATTTTAGTTTTAAAGTGTGTTTGTGTAAATTCCATAGTAATTGGGGATTTTTTGTTCTCTCTCTAGGCATATTTCTTATTTAGTTGACTTGTGTTCATTGAAAGTGAAACTATGAGCTTATAATTATTAACATGTTGCTATTATATTAAGTATGTCTTAGTAATTAATTTCTTTCATTATCTTTACTACTTCTGAGTAAATGAGAAATTTTATCTTATTATTTTGTCTAATTCATTGACTGTTTTCTATGCCTTTCCCTCCTCAGTGTTTTTCTAGTGATTCCAATTAGGGAATCACAACTAAATTTGAATCCATGTTGAATAACTTCATTTACAACAGTCAAATTTCACTTAACCCCTTTGTGTGGTATTTTTAAAAAACATGTTTTATTTAAGTTCTATAAACCACTCAGTTATTTAAAAAGATTAAATATTTCATGTTTTTGTGGTTTTTAAATAGAAAAGAAAGAGCTTTAATTTTTCTGCACGTATTCACAGTTTCCAAAGTTTTTCACTGGCTTGGGTTGGTCTTTGCTAAATATTCCTATCTAGCCAGTTGATGAAGTCAGTCTCACCTGAAATTGTCTTTATTATTAACTTCATTTAGAAAATATTTTAAGTAAGTTTGATTTCCAGAATATCAATATATGCATCTAAAATAAAAACAGCATTTAAAATTGTAATATAGTTATATTTTTATTACATATAATTTAGTTACAATATATTTGCATAATATGCTATAATTAACAATATTTTTATAAGCATTAAACTCAGACTCATTGCTGTTGAGTCAGAACTAATAGTTGATCCTCCAGTGAGTTGTGGAGACTGTAAACCACATGGAAGGAGATTGCTCATCTTTCTCCTGTAGAGTTTCAGGCAGATTTGAATTGCTGAAGAAGTGCCAGTTTTAGGTTGGCAATGCAGCTTGCTACTTGACTGTCTCTGGAACGCCCTAACATGTATACAGTGGAAGGTATATGCAGAGAACCTTTTTAATGAACTTATTGTTGTGTACCATAAAATCAGAACCAACCCTCCAGTCATTTTCAGAGGAAGTTTAATCTCATAGGAGGAAACTGCTCATCTTTCTTCCACAGAGCAGCTAATGGATTCAAACTGTGTGCCTTAAGGATTACATCACAACTTCTTGCCACTAGGCCACCAGAATGAAGGTCAAGTTATACAAGTTTCTTGTGTGTTTGAGATGAATAGCTTCTAATTTTTGCAATTAAACGTTAAATGCGTATGTTATATCAAACTTGAGATTTTAAAATTTTATGCTTTTTACTGATACTTGCCCATTTACTGAGATCAAGGTAAATATATCACTATGAAGATTAATTTCTTTTATACTTCAGTTAAATTTCCTTTATATATTTTTAAAATTTTATTTTATTAATTTTAATGAACATTTACAGATATTTTGGATTTCCATTCATTCATTGCACTTTTTTCTCTACACCCCCCACCCAAAAAAGATAAACCTCTTCATTGGTATACAGTCCCCTCTCCCCCACCCCAAATGCACTCCACTATGCAAACTTAATTCTGGATTCCTGTGATAATCATAATACCCTATCATATATCGCTTTTAAACTGTTCTCTCCCTCATCTGTTTGTATTCAGTATACATAATCTATTTTTAAATATGCTATATGCTTAAACAATTTTAGATTGCTGCTATATTTCTTATGAATTGTTCTTTTAGTGATATAAACTGATAATAATTGTACTTTTAAACCTTTAAGCTTTATTTAGAGTATTATTATGACAAGAGTTTTTAACTCTTGTTTTTTCCCAGATTATTTTTGTTATTTATTTATTTCCAATAATTTTATGTTCATCCATTTTGGTGGTTTCCTTTTAATTGGCATTCAGTACATTACTATTTTGCTATTTCTGATATTTAATGCATTTTAATAGTTATACTTTGGCTTTCTATTTTCTTGAATTTTGTGTCTTTAGCTTTGTAAAGAATTACAAAACATGTTGTTGTTATGTGCTGTCGAGTTGCTTGGAACTCATAGAGACCCTATATTATAGCCCTGAAACCTGCTCTATCCTGTACCAACTTTACTGTCTCTGATACACCAACTGTTATCAGCGCAGTCAGTGCATCAATCCTTCTTATCAATGGTCTTCCTCTCTTTCTCTGTCTCTCCACCCTGCCAAGCATGGTGTCCCTCTCCAAGAACGTGTCCCTCCTAGAAACATGGCCAGTGTATGTCAGACAAATTCTCAGAATCAATGCCTCCAAGGAGCAGCTTGGTTTCACCCCCTCTAGGACAAATCTGTTTGTTCTCCTGGCAGCCCATGGCATATTCAACATTCTTCTCCAGCTCCACAGCTCAAAGCCATCAATTTTCTTTTTATCATCCCTAGTCATTGTCAAGCACTCTGATGCATAGCAAGCAATTGCAAAGACTATAGTCTGGATCAATTGCAACTTAATCCCCAGATTAAGAGCATTGCTCTTCAATTCTCTGGAGAGGTCCCTGACAGCTAATGTTACATGATGTAAATATGAAATAAATCAGACATATACTGGTGACAGCTTATATACACAAAAATCACAAGATAAGACCTCAACAAGCAAAGACTGGATCTCTTTCAACTACATTTCAGGACAGCTATAATAAACATTGCATTTTATTTTCTACCTTCAGTAATCTGTAGATATACTAGAAATTATTAAAGATTTCTGCATGATCATTTCAGGTGTTTACACACCATTTTAGGTAACATACTATTATTTACATTCCCTTTACTGAAGTTGTATTCATGAATATGTTCACTAATATGGTACAATTCTATTTCAAAAGTTTATTGTTTATCCAAAGTATATATTCCTGTGTTTTACTGAGACTAAGACAAAAATAGCAGCATACTGTAATAGATATAGGGAATATTGGTGATCTAGGTTTAAGGAGCTGCTGCATTGCCAACACAAAGGCACTGCCAACCCAAAGAACACAAGGTTCAAATCCACCAGCCACTCCATGGAAGGAAGATAAGCAATCTCCTTCTGTGTGATTTACTGCCTCTGAAAGCCCACTGAAAAGTCAGCTATGAGTCCATTCTAACTTGAGGGTTCATAACAGTATAGTGAATAACTTAGGTTTCAAATCTAGTTAGGCACGAATCTTGACCAGCTATATAACATGGGACACTTATTTAACTCTTCATATTTCATGGTTTTCACAATCACTTGTTATGCATCAGAGAGTTGGACAACGACCAAGGAGGATAAAAGGAGAATTGATGCCTTTGAGCTGTGGTGCTGGAGAAGAGTATTGAGAATACCGTGGACTGCTAGGAAAACAAACAGATTTGTCCTGGAAAGGGTTAAACCAGGTGGCTCCTTGGAGGCAAGGATTCTGAGGCTCCATCTAACACTTCGGACATGTTGTGGGGAGAGACTGGTCCTTGAATAAGGACATCATGCTTGGGAGGTTGGAGGGACAGCGCAGGAGGGGAAGGCCCTCTATGAGGTGGATTGATTCAGTGACTGGGATAATCGGGATGGGAGTGTCAGAGACAGTGCGATTGGCACAGGACTGAGCAGAGTTTAGGGCTGTTCTACATAGGGTCGCTATGAGTTGCAAGCGACTCGATATCACATAACAACAAACAACAACAAATTTCATGATCTATAAAAAGGAAACAGCAAGGATGGTTCAACATAAGAAAAACAATCAGCGTAATTCACCATAAGAAACATATTATCTTACCAATTAATGCAGAAAAGACATTTGACAAAATCCGACACTGGTCCCTGATATAGACATTCAGCAAAATTAGAATAGAAAGGAATTTCTTCAAGATACTGAAAACTATGATATGCAAAGCCAAGAGCCAATTGCATTCTCAATGGAAAAAGCCTAAAAGCATTTTCCTTGTGAACAAGGACCGAACAAGGGTGCTCACTGTCACCACTTCCATGAAATATTTTATTGAAGTGCTTGCTAGGGCAGTATGACAATAGGGGGAAAAAAAGACATCCTAATCAGCAGGTGATATCAAAGACTTAAAAGAAAAAAAACCCACAAAAAATCTGTTAGAGCTAGTAAGACAATTTATTAGAGTGGCAGGACATAAGATCAGTATCCAAAAATCAGAGAGATTTCTCTATAGTAACAAAGAAAACCCAGAGAAGGAAACCAAGAAAGCAATACCATTTACAATAGTCAACCACAAATTGAAATACTTACAAGTGAACCTAACTAGAGATATAAAAGACCTATACAGAGAAAACTATAAAACATTTTTTCAAGACACAGTGAAAGACCTAAAGAAATGGGAGAATGTGTCCTGTTCATGGACAGGAATACTCAATATTGTGAAAATTACAATCCTACCAAAAGCAATCTACACATTCAGTACAATCCTAATACAGATACCACATTCATTTTTCAAGGAGACCAAAAGGGAAATTGTCAAGTTTATTTGTAGAGGAAAAAGACCCTGAATAAGCAAAACACTCCTGAGAAACAAAAACAACATGGGAGGCACAGCATTCCCTGACCTCAAAACTTACTACATGGCAGTAGTAGCCAAAACATCCTGGTACTTGTACAAAGACAGGCACATAGACCAGTGGAACAGAACTGAGAACCCAAAAATAGACCCAGCTATCTATGGTCAAGTGATATTAGACAATGAAATCTATCAAATGGGGCTATGACAACCTCTTCAACAAATGTTGCTGGCAAAACTGGACTGCTGCCTGCAGAAAGCTGAAACAGGATCCACATCTCATACCATACACAAAAATTAACTGAAGGTGGATCAGAGCCTTGGGAGTAAAACCCAAAACCATAAAGTTCATAAGAGACAAACTGTGATTAAGCTTAAAAGGCCTAATCTATGGTATAAAGAGATTGCCAAATAAAGCCAGAAATGTACAATCTGAGGAGGATGAAATTGATAACTTGGACCATCCGTGTATACATAAAAAAAAAATTTCAAACAGAGTGAAAAGAAAACCTACTGATTAGGAACAAACAATTGCCAGTACCATCTCAGACGAGAGTCTCATAATGAAAGTTTGTAGAATGATTCTGGGTCTCCACAGAAAAAGACTGATAACCCAATTACAAAATGGGCAAAAGACATGGAAAGAATTTTCACAGAGGAAGATATTCAAAAGGTCAACGGATACATGAAGAAATGCTCCAATTCACTGGCAATAAGAGAGATGCAAATCAAAACCACAATGAGATTACCATCTCACTCCAGTAGCAGTGGCAATGTTTAACAGGACAGCAAGTAATAAATGTTGGAGAGGCTGTGGTGAGATAGGAACTCATATACATTGTAGGCTGGGATTGTAAAATGGTACAACCACTCTGGAAGGCAGTTTGGCACTTCCTCAAAAAGATGAAAATAGAAATTCCATATGACACATTTATTCCATTGCTTGGAATATACTCTAAGAAAATAAGAACTGAGGCTCAAATGGAGACTTGTACAGAGACTTGTACAGCAATGTTCATATCAGCACAATTCAAATGACAAGAACAGCCTGGCTGTCTAACCACAAATGAATAGATTGAGAAGTTGTGATACATTCATACAATGGAATACAATGCAGCATGCAGGAGCAATGATTTTGTAAATTACTACCTAACTTGGGAGGGAGTGAGGAGACTGCTGAGTGAATTAACTCAGTCCCACAAGAACAAATATTGTAGAAAAACATTATTGTAGAATGAATATGAGGATCCAAAGGCCCAGGGTGGGGGGATGAGGGTGGAGGATGTGATCTGGAAGCAGAGGTGGAGGATGGGTGGGGAGTGGGGTTCTTAATCATAGGGTTGAACAATTTGATGGATAGAGGTGGATGGTGAAGGAAATGGGAAGGATCTTTTGTGAAAAACAATGTATTCCAACTGTAAAGAAATCAGTACAAAATTTAAAAAAATCTTAAAAAAGGCGGAAATGGTTCTTGTTGGTCTTACATGCTGTTGGACTTTTATCTTCAGAGACTGTAAATTGCATGTGAGATTTCCACCTTTTTCATACAGAGTAGCTGGTGGATTCCTTTAGATGAGCACAACTCTGTGCAACTAGGCTACCAGAGCCCTAAAGAAGAAACAAATAACAGTTATCTCATTCTAGGGAGCTCTGGTTTCGCATAAGCACAATCAAGTGTTCTTGGATTCCCATTCTTCTCAGAGTCAGCCACAGTTTATTGTGATCTACTCAGTCAAATGATTTTTCACAATCAATGAAACACAGACATTCCTCTGGTACTCTCTGTTTTCAGCCAAGATCTCTCTAACATTAGCTACAATAGCCCTAGTACCATGGCCTCTTCTAAACCCAGTCTGCACTTCAGGCAGTTGACTGTTGATGTGCTGTTCCAGCTGTTTTTGGATAATCTTCAACAAAAATCTTGCTTGCATGTGATATCAATGATGTTGTTCATTAATTTCTGCACTCTGTCAGATCACCTTTCTTTGGAATGGGAACAAATATAGATCTCTTCCAGTCAGTTGGCCAGGTGGTTGTCCTCCAGATTTCTTGGCACAACTTGGTAAGCACAGTGTCTGTTTGTTGAAATATGTCAATTGGTATGCCATCATTTCCTTGAGCCTTGTTTTTTGCCAATTCTTTCAGAGCAGCTTGAACTTCCTCCTTTATCACCATAGGCTCTTACTCATACATTGTTTCATGAAATTCTTTTTTGTTCACCAATTCCTTTTGGTAACATCACTCTGTATACTCTTTCCATCTTCTTTTAATGCTACCTGCATCATTTAATATTCTGCCCAAAACATCCTTGGGTATTACAGCTAAAAGCTTGAATTTGTTCCTCAGTTTCATGAACTTAAGAAATGCTGAATGAGTTCAGCCCTTTTGATTTTCTGACTCCAGCTCCTTGTATATTTCATTGTAATAATTTGTCTTCTCGCACTGCCCTTTGGAATCTTCTGTTCAACTCCTTAACATCTTGATTTCTTCCCTTTGCTTTGGTTTCTTGGTGCTATAGTGCAATATTCAGAGCTCTTTCTGTCATCCATCTTGGTCTTTCTCCTCTATCTTTGCAATGACTTTTTTTTTTATTCTTCCTGGATGATATTCTTGACCAGAGGGAGGTCATCAGAACAGAGCAAGGAAACACTGCCATGGTTCAAAATTGGGAAGGATGTACACCAAGGATGTAGCCTAGCTCCATATCTTTTAAATCTATATGCAGAACAGGTTATCCGGGAGACTGGGCTCTATGAGGAGAAATGTGGCATCAGGATTGAAGGAAGACTCCTCAACAACTTGTGTTATGTGTATGACAAACAGTCCTTGTTTGCTGAGGGCCTCAAGCGTGTGCTGCAGAAGGTCGAGGAATGTAGTCTTCAATATGGATTGAAGCTTAAACTTCAAGAAAACAAAGATTCTTATCACTAGGCCAATCGTCAGTATCATGAAAGAAGGTGAAGAAATTGAGATTGTCAACAGTTTCCGTTTGCTTGGCTCTACAATCAACATTCTTGGTACCAGCATATAGGACATTAAAAGACAAATTGCATTGGGGATGTCTGCAGTCAGAGACCTCTTCAAAGTACTGAAGAGTAATGATGCCAGTTGGAGACAAAAGTGAGCCTGATAACTGGCCATGGTCTTTGCAATTGCTTGCTATACATCAAAGAGCTGTAAAGTGACTGGGGATGATAGAAGGAGAATTGATGCCTTTGAGCTGTGGTGTTGGAGAAGTGTATTGGATATAGCATGGACTGCTAGGAGAACAAACAAGTTCATCCTGGAGAAGGAGAAGCCAGGTTGCTCCTTGGAGGCATGGATTCTGAAGCTTTGTCTGATATAATTTGTACATCTTGTAAGATGGGATCAGTCTTTGGAAAGGGATGTCATGCTTGGGAGGATGGAGGGACGGTGCAAGAGAGGAAGACCCTAGATGAGATAGTTTGACTCAGTGATTGGGGTAAGGTATGTCAGAGACAAAAGATTGGCCCAGGATAGAGCAGGGTTTAGGACTGTTGTACATAGGGTCACTATGAGTCGCAGGTGACTTGATGGCACATAACAACAACAACCAGGAGCTCTGGTGGCCTAGTGGTAAGAAGCTGCACTATAATCCTGAAGACATGAAGTTCAAGGCCACCAGCTGCTCTGAGGAAGAAGGATTGGCAAGCTCCTCCTGTACGATTAACTGCCTCTGAAAACCCGTTGGAGAGTCAGCAATGGGTAGATTCCAACACTAAGGCACACAGCAACAACAACAATTTATTAATATGTAAAAATTCCTTAGTTATGCTTAACATTTAGTAAACTCAATAAATATCAATTCCACTTTGCCTCATCACTTGCAAGCTGCATTAGTTTTGTTATTTTATATTAATTGTAAATAGCTTAGTTAAATACTTTTTCACTAGTAATTAATAAAGAAAATTTGCCTTCCAGTATGATTATATGGGATCTGAAGTGGCAGTTGCAGCTGAGAAAGTTGTCCAAATCTTTAGCCTTATCAATACTGTAAGTAATTAAACTTACACAAAATACTCTTATTAAACATCAACTTGATTTATATAAAATTTCTATTTTTATAAGAAAGCTTAGTCCTACCAATGGTGTGATATGTCTTTTTTAAAAAAGATCATGAGTAAAATATATTACATATATTGCCATTTTGTATTGATGAGATGTTATACTTGTGGTTACTCAGTACTGCATATCATTCTATTTTCAGATGTTTTCCCAGCTTAAAATGACTATTATGCTTTCATCTTTGGAACTCTGGTCAGATAAAAATAAGATTTCAACTCATGGGGATGCTGATGATATACTGCAAAGGTTTTTGTCATGGAAACACACGTATTTGGCTCAAAGGCCTGGTGATATGGCATACCTGTTAATGTAAGCCCTTTGTTCTGTATTGGTGTATGATCTGTCAGCTTATTTGATATGTTAGCTGTAAAAATTACATAATTTATTTTATGTGATGATGGAACACTTTAATAGAATCAATGAAAATTCTGTGCTGGATATTTTCCAGGCATTTTTCAATGTGAAAGAATCAGTGCAAAACATGACTTATTTTTAAAGATTTGACATTTACCTACAGAAACGTAGTGATGAACTAGACTATATGATGTTTTGGAGTATCCATGGGCCATGTATGATTTTCACAATACTTTATGTAATGAATGAAGTAATTGCATGTAATTTTTCTTTGGTTATAACACATCACTGAAACAGTTCACACCAAAAATGAAAGGCAGCTATACTTATCTTTTTCAGATGTGATCACATTTTGTTGTGTGCCGTGGAGTTGGGACTGACATAAAGCTGTCCCTTTAGGTTTTCAGAGGTAATAAAATTGCTTGGAAGGAGATTGCCCAGTACTAATTTAAAAACTTAGCTATTTCACAGGTAACTTTGTATATTTCAAGAATCTTTTAAAATAGATATTGGAATTAATTTTTCAACATTTAAAAAGACAGAGAAGATTGCCTAATACTAATTTAAAAATACAGCTATTTCACAGGTAACTTTGTATATTTCAAGAATCTTTTTAAATAGATATTAGAATTAAATTTTCAACATTAAGAAGACAGACATTTGGCCAATAGGCAACATCATAATAAAGACAATACTGAAGTTGTAAATGATTTAATCTTGGATAAAACAGTCAAGATCCTTTGGTACTAACAGTCAAAGAGTCAGTAGCTTCATTTCATCTGAAACATCTGCTTTCAAGGACCTCTCCAAATTATTAAGGAGCAATGATGTTAATTTAAAGACTAAAGTGCACTTAAGTCAAGCCATGATCTTTTTTTATTATTTGATATATGAAAGCTGGACAATGAATAAGATGATAGAAAAAGAATTGATGCTTTTGAGTTCTGAATGGAGAACAATACTGAATATCCCAGGCACTTCCAAGAGAACAAACAGACATGTCTTAAAGAAAATGCAGCAAGGATGCTCTTTCAAGACAAAGCTTCACCTCACATATTTTGGGTATGTTGTTGGAAAGGATCACTCCTTGGAAAAGGACATTATTTTTGGAAATAAGAAGGGTCAGAAAAAAGAGGAAGACCCTCAGAGAGGTAGATTGACATAAATGAACTCAAGGATATCGGGGTGGTGAGGATGGCACAGGATAGGGCAGGGTACAGATCTGTTGTTCAAAAGGTTTATATAACTTGTACTTCATTTAGTCAGTAAAATACATTTTCATGACATTAATTGTACTATGCTATTATTTACAATGTCTCACTGAATCCTTGCTGTAAATGTCTTTTTTTTTAAATGTCTTTTAACTTTCCCTATACTTCTATTTGCTAAACTCTGCTTCCTCTCCCTTACCTCTCATCCATGTCAACCCTCCAAAACCAGTTTTTAAGTGTGTATATATGTTCTTGTCTGCCCCCTATTCTATCTGGTATGCATGCCTTATTCTAGATTAAATGTCTGATTTTCATTAATTTCACTGATTTTGATAAAGTGCTAATTATGTATCCATTCTATTCTTGCTTTCTGTGTGCTCCATTTAACAATCATATTTTATAACAGTGGTCTTACACTATATTAGTCTTTTTTAAAAAATATTTTTAAATGTTTATATTGGTTTGCTTACAAAGTTCATATATATTGTGTTTCATAACAGTCTTCATTCACGTTGTGTTTTATACAATCATTTCCATTGTTTTATAAAATTAATCACCATTGGAATGTACCCACCATTATTCTGTCTTTTCAGGTCCCCACCAAATATTTCCCATTTCTGTTATCCCCTCTCTCCAAACACCAAATTGTACAACCTTGTAATTTAGCCCCTAACCATCCTCACCTCTCAGCCCCCATCCCTACCTCTCTTAGGTCCCCATATTTGTTTTGTTTGTTATCCTTCTATTTTTACTATAATGGTCTTATGGAGTATTTGTTCTTATGAAACTGAGTTAGTTCACTCAGTTGCTTTCCAGTCTCTCCTAAGTTATGTAGTATTTTTTAAATTTTTGCTCCAGAGAGCATTTGTCCTTTTGTGATGGAGTTTTTACATTCAGCATAATATAATGTAGATTCACCCATGTTGTAGTGTTTCACCAGTTTTTCAATGTTGTTTTATGCTTCATTGTGTGAATGTAGCATAGTTTCTCCATCCATTAATTTCTTGCTGAGGACTTGAGCTACCATCGTTCTCTGTTATTGTAAAGAAAGCTGTAGTAAACTTGAGTATAAGTTCGCATGGACACAATCAGGTGTCCTGGCATACTCATTCTTTTCAGGGTTACCTACAATTTATTGTGATTCATACAGTCAAATGTCTTTGCATAGTCAATGAAGCACAAATAGACATTGCTCTGGTATTCTCTACTTTTGGCCAAGATCCATCTGATGGATGTCCATTATGAAGTCTATAGTGCCATGGCCTCTTCTAAATCCAGCTTACACATCTGTCAGTTCTTTGCTGATGTACTATTCCAAGTAGTTTTGGGATAATCTTCAGCAGGGTCTTTCTTGCATGTGATATTAGGACTATTGTTTAATTTCCACACTCTCTTGGGCCACCTTTTTTTGGAATGGGAATACATTTGGATCTCTTCCATTCAGTTGGCCAGGTAGTTATTCTCCAGATTTCTTGTCATAGCCTGGTGAGCATGTCCAGGACACCATCTGTTTTTGTCTGTTTGCTGAAATATGTCAATTGGTTTTCCATCATTTCCTGCAGCCGTACTCAGAACAGAGCAGGGAAGCACTGCATGGTTCGGGATCAGGTAAGGTGTGCGTGAGTAATGCATTCTATCTCCATACCTTTTCATTATTTATACAGATCATTTGGGAGGCTGGACTTTATGAGGAGGAATGTGGCATCAGAACTGGAGGAAGACTCACCAACAACCTGCATTATGCAGATGACACAACCTTGCTTGCTGAAACTATGAGGGGTTTGCTGCAGAAGGTCAAGTACAGTAGTCTTCAATATGGATTGAAGCTCAATGTTAAGAAAACAAATATTCTCACCCCTGGGCCAGTTGGCAGCTTGTTGGTAGATGGAGAAGAGATTGAGGTTGTTAACAACTTTAATGTGTGCTTTGTTCCACAATCAACTCTCTTAGCACCAGCAGTCAGGAAATAAGATTAATTGCATTGGGAAAGTCTACTGTCAGGGTCTTGAAAAGTAATGATGTCAGTCTGGAGAACAAGGTACACATGGTCCAGGCCATGGTCTTCTCAATTACTTACTGTGTATTAGAGAGCTGGACAACTAAGGATGATAGTAGAAGGGTCTATGCATTTGAGTGTGGTGCTGGAGTTGAACATACCATGGACTGCCAGGAGAACAAATAGGTCCATCCTGGAGAGGGTGAAACCAAGCTGCTTCCTGGAGGCAAAGATTTAAAAGCCCTATCTCACATACTTTGGGCATGTGGCCTTGAAGAAGGACATTATGCTTGGAAAGGTCGAGAGACAGTGCAGGAGAGGAAAACCTAGGAGGAGGCAGATTGACTCAGTGATTGGAGAAATGGGACTAGGTCTGTCAGAGACAATGAGATTGACAGGGTTCAAAGATAATGTACAAAGGGTTGCTATGAGTCACAGGTGAGAGTCAATAGGACATAACAACAACAAACATGGGTATGCATATTTCTGTTTCTGTTGAGGTTCTGATTTCCCCAGTGAATATTCCCAGGAGTAGAAAAGATGGATCAAATAATACGTCTATTTTCAAATTTTTGGGGAAATTTCATACTTCTTTCTGTAGTGGTGTATCATTTTACATTCTTATCAGCCATGTGTAAGAGTTGCAATGACTCTGCATCGTGCATCTTTGTTGTTTGCTATCCTGTTGAACGTAGCTAATGTTGCTGGGATTTTTCATTGTTTTATTGTTTTGATTTTGGTTTGTATCTTTCTAAGGATGGGCAATCTTCTCCCATGTGACTAATTGCCTCTGAAATCCCACTCGAGGGTCAGCTATGGGTTGGTTCCAACTTTATAATACACAACACAACAATGACAAATAATCTTGAGCATTTCTTCATGGGTGTGTGTGTGTGTGTGTGTGTGTGTGTGTGTGTGTTGGGTTTTTTTGTTGTTTTTTTTTATATTTTGGTTTTGGTTTTTTTAAGTCTGAATATCTGGTTTGGTGAGGTGTCTTCTGCCCATTTAGAAATTGAGTTGTCATTTTCATTGTTTTTCCATTGCCACATTTATTTTTTTATTTCAATTTTTTTATTGTTTTATACTGGTTTACATATAAAGTTCATAAAGTACATATACATTGTTTTTCACACTGCATCTTTCCCCTTTCGCTTTCCCATTTCTCCCTCTACCCATCAAATTGTGTGACCCTATGATTAAGCACTCTTCCCCATGGATCCTTTATACTTTGTACTCTTTATACAATAAGGGTCTCATACATTGTTTATTCTTAGGAGACTGAATTAGTTCATGTAGCATAATGCTCTCCAGTCCCTCCTATGTTAGGGAGTAATTTACTAAATCATTGTACCTGCTAGCTGTGTAGTAAATTTCTTTACATTATGTGAATATACCACACTTTCTCAACCTGTTCCATTGTGGTTGGGCATTTGGGCTATTTCCATGTTCTTGTGATGGTGAATAACGCTACTATGAACATTTGTGTACAAGTCTCTGTCTGTGCCTCAGTTCTCATTTTCTTAGGGTATATTCCAAGCAGTAGAATTGCTGGGTCATATGGGATTTCTATGTTCAGCTTTTTGAGGAAGCGCTAAACTGCCTTCCAGAGTGGTTGCACTATTTTATAATTCCACCAGCAATCAATAAGACTTCTTATCTCACCACATCCTCTCTGACATTTATTACTTGTTGCTGTTCTAAACTTTGCCATTGCTACTGGTATGTTATTGTGGTTTTGATTTGCATAT